CATTTTGTAAATTTTGAACACAGAAAAAGTTACATAGTGCTGCTTTAAGTCATTAAGTTACCAAAAAGGCGATTAAAGCTGCCTTAAAACTGTGCATGCATGTAATATATTTTATATGAGTCACATTTAAAAACATGTCTCTGAAATGGTTTTCAAAACTGTCCTGGAGCAGCCCAGTACTGTCTCACTCATCTAATACACCTCGTCAGCTCATTAATAGAGACTTTAAGACCTGAAGTGGGTCAGAAAAGGTAAAAAGAGTTGTATATGAGAAAATATGAATATGAGAATATTGTATATGAGAAAATATGATGCGTGTCAGATCCGCGTCACGTTCAGCAGCGGCAGCTCTTAAAGAAATAGCAGCCAAAGCAACCTAATAACCAGCTGCTGTGATGTCTATTAATCAAAGGACAAAGAATATATATATATATAAATTAAAAAATAAACAAAATCAAGCTGTCATTTCATGTACTCTTGGGGGCCCCCTGGTGGTCAGGGGAGCCCTAAGCAGCCACTTAGTTCGCTTATGCCTTGGGCCGGCATGTTTCAATAGAAATTATCATAAATTTATTCAGCATTTCACTTTAATCATATTTCAAATACAACAGAAGTAATTGTAAATGTACTTTTAAAGTACGTCAAAAACATACTCTTAAGTTCAATTAGTTGCATTTAATATAAACTTAAACTATAATACATTTTCATTTAATTGTCTGAAAACATGACATTCAGTTCACATTTTTTAAGTATATTCTTTTGAAGTATATTATTTACATACTCTTTTTAAAAGTATGCTAAAAGTGTTCTTTTTCACAATGGTAGTTCTGATCTTGATGTTCCACAGTTATATTGTGTCAAAATACATTTATGTCTTTGATTTAAAAAAAACTGAATCTACTGATGTGGGGCTGACATGAGAATAACTGACTCACTGATATTCTAGCAACGTCAACATCAAGGGTTTGATTCTCAGAGGAAAGCATGAACTAATAAACATAGAAATTGAATGCAACATAAGTCGCCTCACATCATTTGATAAATGATTTGTTTACCATCTTTTATATGTGGTAGTTACTTACTTTTCAGTGTCAAAATATTCTCTATGGCTCTGTTTAAAATGTGGCAGCTAAATATTCAATATATTAAAGAAATGCAAAAAAAAAAGTGTGTAATGATTGTGTATTAATTTAATGATTAAGTAATTTAGAATCCTAATGAATGTATTAAGAAAGCTGGTCATTCTAAACCTTGGCAAATACAGAAAATTGTAGTATTCGAGGTTTCATTGTTATCATTTCACACACCAAAAAAAGTAATTAACCCCAACTTAAAACAACAACGATTCAACATAGTTTACATAGACATAAAATGTGCAGTCGGGACTAGAAAACGTCCTGTGCCCTATACATTTTCCTGACATTGTTCTGTGCCTAAGATGAATCAATGTCCCCCAAGTCGTCATTATCGAAGGCTTGCTTGTTATAAGATAAAGTGGCCCATATAGACTGGTTCAAATATGACGTCTCTTGTGGGTTATTATGCTACATTTGTTAAAATTCGGACATTTAGCTAATGCATTTACGCAAGTACACAGAACAGAGTTCCCAAGCAACTGTTTTGCAAGCCAATCCACAGTCGTCCTGAGGGGAGACAGACTCAACACTCTTCTCTGTTGAGCTGCTAATCACGGGACACTGTATAATTGACTCAGCACAGAAAGAGGAGCGGCCCGGGCCACCCTGAGGCTTATAAGCTCACTGTTAACAAATAGCCTGTCATCCCTTTCTTCAGCTCATGGAAAGTTAAAATGAGCAGACAAATTGGCGTTTTCACGCAGTCCCCTAATGACGCACTCATAAATGCACTTATTATGTGTCTGGAATCTGGGATTCTCTTTGGTCAGAGGGTTGCTGTGATCAGCAGAGACTGTTTAACTCAAGCAGACATGGGACAAAGCTGCTGTGGATTGTCCGGCCCTTGTCCTGAGTGCAGGGAAAGCTGTGGGGACAACTGTCACCGGGACGAGCCCTGTGTGGACCGCTGCTGTAACCTGTGCTGTCAGTTCTGTCTGGATGGCTGCTGTCTCATCTGCTCGGACGACTGCCGCTACACTCTGTGTTTCACGTGCACCAGGTTTGCCGACTCCTGCACTGCCGTTCTGACCACCCAGCAGCCCAGATCTACACAGAAACCAAGAGAAGGTAGGTGGAGTAACAAATGAGTTGTGCACATGTGTTAAGTCCACCATGATTATACTAACTAGTACATTGCTGTGGCTCCAATGTTAGAATTTGATAACATATTCCATGAAACCAAGCTATTGGTAACACTTTACATTATTTGCATGTACATTATCAACTGTGTGAAAAAGATGAAAACTGTACTTGCAGATAACATAAATCAAGTAAATAAAAGCCACATGAGTGTACTTATGATTTCAAAGAGTATGATTTCATGAAGTGTCTTTTAAAAAGCGTACTTTGTAATAGCGTCAAATTAAAATGTGACTTTAAAGCACATTTTTAAATCATTGTTTTAATAATGTTTTGTCATACTTTAAAGATATACGCTTATTTTGATGTGTTGCCCAACATACTAAAGCAAAAGCAAAGTAATTGATTACAATTTTAACTGTGGTATATTATTTGAAAGTATCTTTAAAAGTTAAAAGGTAAATTTGGTAACGATTATTTTGATAGTCCACTTTAGACATTCTATAAGTAAATTTGCAAATGCATGTCAATTTATTCTTCTAACCCTAAACTAACAGTCTACTAATACTCTACACTCTAAAAAACACTGGGTTAAAAACAACCCAATTTGGGTTGTTATTAACCCAAGGGCTGGGTAAATATAGGACAGAACACATCTTGGGTTAAATTTACCCAGCAAATTGGGTTGTTTATTTAACCCAGCATAATGGGTTGATTTAACCCAGCTAATGGGTTTATTTATTTTTACTATATTACTAGCTTATTATTTACTTCATACATTAAATAATGTTTACAGATTAACTTAAATCCTCTAAACCTTTCTAAAATACTCCACACAACCACTGGTTTGCATGATAACTTCCTTTATTTTCCTTCATTTATCATTTACAGCATTGTTTATATCATTTGAATAGGCTATACATATTGCCTATATTTAAACTCGTTTAACAAACATTCGAAGAAAAATTCAACATTAAACAGAAGTAATTCACGTGTAATCGACCAGTCCCCGTTATTCTGTTTCCACCGTAACGGCGCTGGAGTCGTGTTCGGCGGGGAACTGCTAACGGCCCGCCGCCCTGCGTTTCATTCTAGCCGAAACATGCTGTGACTCCATAACTTGCCAATAAACAAACAATAAACAGCTCTGAGGACATGCTTCACAACCACTGGTTTGCATGATAACTTCCTTTATTTTCCTTCATTTATCATTTACAGCATTGTTTATATCATTTGAATAGGCTATACATATTGCCTATATTTAAACTCGTTTAACAAACATTCGAAGAAAAATTCAACATTAAACAGAAGTAATTCACGTGTAATCGACCAGTCCCTGTTATTCTGTTTCCACCGTAACGGCGCTGGAGTCGTGTTCGGCGGGAAACTGCTAACGGCCCGCCGCCCTGCGTTTCATTCTAGCCGAAACATGCTGTGACTCCATAACTTGCCAATAAACAAACAATAAACAGCTCTGAGGACATGCTTTAACATCCAAAGTATTATATTCTGTATGTTTATGAATAAAATCGTTTATTTTATGCAAAGCACCAGACTTTTCCATCACGTGAAAAGACCGCAGGCACTCGTTAAAGGTGATTCACACCGCGCGCCTGTATGTTGCTCTGCATAAAATTGAACTATATACAGCACAGTAACGATTTTATAGATAAAATGTACACAAACATGTATTTTACCAAAGAATGCATCAATTTGATGGCGCTTAGAGCTGCTCTCTCGTGAAGAGAAGACGCAAAATAAATAACTCAACCGCTGGGTTACGTCTGACCCAGGATCTGAGTAACACAAAAACTACCCAAACATTGGGTAATGTCTGACTCAGGAGCTGCAAAAAAACCCAAACACAGGGTTGTTACATTTGACCCAGGAGCTGGGTAACACAAAAACTACCCAAACACTGAAAAAATAACCCAGAAAAAATGACCCAAAAGGCTCAACCCAGCATTTGGGTTAACAAAAATAACCCAGGATTTTTTAAGTTGACATGTCTATATATAAAAGAATTACCAAGATTTAAAGTAATGTTTTTATTATGTTTTATTTTATTTTTAGGCCTATAGGTTCTCATTTGGAAGAAGGCCAGGTGATTTAGATCACCTGATGAACGTAATGGAAACTGATGGGTTGGATGGATGGAGACCTGATTCTTACTTCATGAGGCCATTCTCTGAACAGCAAGAGACTGAAAAACATGAATGAAGTGCATTTAAAGTGTATTTGTAGATCATTTGCTACCTCTGTAATTCAGCCCATGATATATTATGTATGCACTGTACTGCACACTACTGTACATATTGAAGCACCAAATACAACTGATTCTGTGAACTATACAAGTGTCATCTGTTAAATGTATCTAGAGGATCTATTCAAAAGTAAAAACACTTGTTCAATCATGCAAAATAAAAAGGCTTTGCTTGACGTGGTATGCTCCAGAATGACAGACTCTCAGAGGACAGACAGGAAAAACTTGATTTGCACGCCCTGAAACTCGCCGTCACAGAGGTACAGTATTTATATTTAGGAGTCCACCCAGGCATACATCAGATCAGCCCTGTCAACATCATGAGAAAGACAACTTGGGTACATCTGACTGAACTTACTGAAATTGACTTTTTACAGTGACTTTTAAAAGGTGAAAAGAGGACAGGAGATACAAAAGGGGTAAACGAGATCGTCTGAGAAGCAGAGAATGTCATTTCTATGCTCTTTTCTCCTTTTTGTGGCAGTGCAGTGATTGAGGATTTTAATTTCTTCTCAACTTCATGAAAAAAAAACAGAAGTGGGACTGAAGAAGAGAGGAAAATTAAAGAAAAAAGAAGACTCTACACGTTTGAAGGCACTTGACAAAGGTACACTGAATTGAAATGGCAGTTCTCTGGTAATTTGGGTAATCTGAAACATATCCAACGCCTGCAGCCTTGTCTTTGGGTAAATTATTTGATTGGAACTGAATTTTTGGGGTGAAAAGTTTGGTGTAATAAAAGCCTCCTCTGTTCTACTTCTTTAGGAGCTTTAGTGAGTCTGTGAAAGAGAAATAGATGACTAGGAGGAACTCAGTGCTTGTTTTGAATGATTATGCTGCCATTTCGCCCTTGAACTCAGCTATAGAAGTGTTGAGCTTAGTACAGACTCATTCATCTCACAACTACATCACTCGTTGCACCTGTTTAAGTCATCACCGTTTGCCAAATGTAAAAAACTAAACAAAAAAAACTGTCTCTTTATTAGCTAATTGTCTTTGAAGGTTCAAAACAACATTCCAACACGTGCATTCTCCATGTCAACAGAGTTCAGATAAAGCTTACGTGATCCATAGAGCATTGATTTATTTCCATATCAGTTAATGACAATGAAAGGCTGTTGTCAGATACTGGAACATAATTACAATCGATTGATTCTCTGCATCCGTGAGTCACTGCATAACTGTCTCATCCTCCCTCAGGCCTGATCCAGGAGACTAGCCATGGAGGAGGATTACAAGAAACCACCACCGTCTTATGAAGAAGTTATTACCCAGCAGCACACGAGCAACACTAGTCAGAGCCGCTCTGCTGATAACAGGCAGGGCTGCTGCTGCAGGTGCTGCATTAGCACCAAGAACTGTCTGATGAGTCCAGAGTGCGGTCGAGCTCTTAGCATCGCCAATGTGATTGCCATGTGTGGCATGTGCATTCGAATGTGTGTCTGTAAGTACCCAGAATGATGCATTTTTATATGTTTACACTACCATTCAAAAGGTTTGGATTTTTTTTGTTTTGTTTTGTTGAAAAAAAGGACACATTCAATTGATAAAAAGAGACAGTAAAAAACATTTAAAATGTTACAAAAGATTTATTTTGAATTCTGTTTCATTCATCAAAAAATCTTGTATCACATAATACAAATAATCTAGTATAAAATGTATCACAGTTTCCACATTGATGATGATAAGAAACTAGTGCTGTCAAACGATTAATCACGATTAATCGCATTCAAAATTATAGTTTTTTTGTTTACATAATATATGTGTGTGTACACATGCACATTTATATATACATAATAAATATACACAGTACACACACATATTTTATGTAAACAAAAACAATTATTTTGAATGCGATTAATCGCGATTAATCATTTGACAGCACTATAAGAAATGTTTCTTGATCAGCAAATCAGCAGAATAAATGATTTCTGAAGGATCATGCGACACTGAAGACTGGAGTAATGATGCTGAAAATTCAGGTTTTAACATCACAGAAATAATTTATGTATGAAAATATATTCAAATAGAAAACAGTTATTTTAAACTGTCACATTTCATTATATTTTTGATCAAATAAATGCAGTCTCAGTCAACATAAAATACTTATTTCAAAAACATCAAACAAACAAACAAATAAATAAATAAAACTGACCGCAAGCTTTTGAATTGTAAACAGAAGGCACTGGCCTGAAGAGAAAAGACAGGCAGTGGCTTCTCAAAAAAAACATCTAATAATAATAAAGTCAATAAATAAGTAAGTAAATAATGTTGGATGAGACAAATTGGCCTGAATCTGACAAACTGGTACAAATAGTAATTACAAAAAAAAACTTGACTTTGGTGCTATCCCAATCAAATTGAACTTCAAATTGATTTATCTGTTTCCCTTTATACTTTAGAAAAACAAATTTAATTGTGAGTGAGCCATTGGTCTGCAAGGTATACTAATATACAAATAATAGCTGGAGAACTTGGTGAGACTTTGAATAAGTATAAATAAATTGTATATTTGTGTCCCAAGTGTAAGATAAAATAGTGTTCCATGTGCCTAAAGTGTGTGTGTGTGTGTGTGTGTGTGTGTGTGTGTGTGTGTACGCGTTTTTGTGACAAATGAGGACATAAATTTGTATAATGACAAGGGTATGACAGGTATTACAAGGAGAAGGTGACTTTTCAGGACATTACCCCATGTCCCCACTTTTCAAAACGCTTATAAATCACACAGAATGGAGTTTATTGAAAATCTGATATTAGAGCACAAAGTCTCCTGTAAGGGATCGGTTTAGGGGTAGGGTTGGTAAACGGCAATAGAATATACGGTCTGTACAGTATAAAAACCATTATACCTATGGGATGTCCCCACTTTTCACAAAAGTAAACCTGTGTGTGTGTGTGTGTGTGTGTGTGTGTGTGTGTGTGTGTGTGTGTGTGTGTAAACATGATCAAAGTAGAACTGCAACATGAATTTATATTAGACTAAAAAAACATTTCAAAAGTCCACTGCGTATATCTTGTCAGCATAGCAAATATATCACTTCTGTGCTCTGCTGTTATAGCTCTCATATTATTACATTAGAGCTTCACTGTTATTTCAGATTATGTGAAGGTGACTTGCTGAAATTTGTCATCCATTTATGGTTTTTCTTTCTTTTTCAGAACACAGTCTCCTGTGGACCATCTATTCCAGTACTCTCATCCAATGGTGGCCTTCTCAAATAAAAATGGAAACAAAGACATTAGCTCTGTTCCAAAACCTAGTGATCTGCAACATTAATATGCTCACCCCCAATACGAATCCCAATGCTGTTCCAAATAGAATGCAGGACTGCATGTATCATTCAGGTAATCCTTGATCGAACTGACTAAAATTTCCATTTCAAATAGGAAATGTCAATTGCAAAGTATAGCTTATAAATACAAAGTATATTAATTCAGTACTGACACATATCATTGAAAAACACGGCCACGTCATGTGACCTGTGAGCTTAGCAACATGCTAACATTATACTTTATAAGAATCAACTGTGTTAGTAGTCTCTGATGTGCATCATGGGCCTCTTTAATCAAATAGTAGCACAATAAACTTTTAAATCATTTGTAACATGTGTAACAGACCTTTTTTGTCTGCAAAATTGTGTTAATGTAACGGCACCTTTACAATATGTCTTTCCTTTTTGGAAGACAATAGCAGACAATAGAGTTAAACAGTTGTATTAATATTTTCTCTTTAATCCAAGTCACCTATGTTTATACAGAGCTTTATACAATACTAAATAGGAAAGAAACAGAATCAGTGACACAAACTTCATCAAATATGAGGCAATCCGAATTCTGCTGTAAAGCAGCTCTAACAAGACATTTCCAAAATAGTTGCAGTCATTTGGAAATGCCAATTGAGCTCCTATTTTTTTTCTTTCATAAATTGGAGCCAGTGATGTGATTGGATGTGGCATCCACCTTAATTATGTATCAGGGTATCAAAACTTTGGGTTACACTTTATTTCGATAGTCCACTATAAGATAGTCCACTATAACTATAAGTAACTTTGTAACTACATGTCAACTACATGTCAACTAATTCTCATTAATTTGCAACTACATGTCTACTAACTCTCAGAGTAGACTGTTAGGGTAGGTTTAGGGTTAGTAGAATGTTGACAAAGAAAGTGTTAGAAGATATTAAGCAAATAGTCTACTAATACTCTACTAACTACTAGTTGACATTTAGTTGAAAAGTTACTTACTGTTAATAGAATGTCTAAGTGGACTATCGAAATAAAGTGTTTCCAAACTTTGCATTTATCATTAACATTTCCTCTAAAACTTCTTGTTGGAAAATATAATTCATAATACAGAATTATGTTTTAAATGATGTGCACTAGACCGACAGGTCAATAAATCACAATGCTAGATTATTTTCCCAATTGTGGTGGATTGTTTTCCTTTACGACTGTAAAATATTAAACCGGTAGACTGAGAGTGTGTAAATATGGATCTTCTCCACTGTGGATATAAAGCCTTTTGTCTTATAGCCGGTATGCAAACAAATACCTTTACATTAATACAGCTGGAGAGTTTTACCTTCAGGAGTAAATATTTATCCAGTTAAAAATTGTTGAATTCTACACTCAAATATGTAAAATAATAAAGATGTCTGACATTTGCAAATAAGGATGAATATGGAGTCTTTATTTTGTGTCATTTGAAATAGTATTTGATGAAAAAAATGTGTTTTTAATATTTTTTTAATCATTAAGAGAGAATTATTTATGATGGCCATTTGGGATTAAGATGACATGGTTGCTGCACTGAAATTTTTTATCTCCTAATTATACCCTGAATATTTGGTGTGTCAAGAATCAAAGGTCAAGCATTTCTCTGGGGCTCATAAATATTCAGGTTTTCTCTGGTTGCTCTCGCTCACTGGCCCATTTTTCAATGCCCGAGAAACAATACAAGATGTAATCAGTCTGAAGGATCCAAGTACAGTGTTTTAGTCCATGTTCATAATACTGGAATCAGAATCCGTCAGAGTAATGAAGGTAATCCAATACCATAATCAAAACACACAGGCAGATATTCAGTGAACAAGGGAACAAATCACAAGATACAAATGAAATACACACGAGAGCCATGAACAAAAAGAACAGATGGTTTTATATATGCGGAACAAAGCAATGCACATCTGGAGTGAACACAATGGAGCGAAACAGTAGCTTACTGAATATTCATGCAGTACATACTGTATAAAATGGATGTGAAACAGATCATTTTAAACACGTATTACATGGCATGTTTTGATTATAGCCACGATGAGGCAGAGCAACATGTGTGTGGCACAAATCTATAAACTCAGATTATTTCTTAGCTTTATACACATGAGATCATCTAAGAGAAGCAAAAATAATGATAATTTTTGTATTGTTTTGGATTTGTTATTGTCCAAGTTCTTTAATGAATTCTTGACTTTCACTCTCAGTATGTGATATTTGATTCTCTCTATCCGGCAAAGGTGAAGTAGAAGGTGATTCTGCTGTTGTTCTAAACATTGTCATGACCTGTCAATCACTGCATCTATTCCCAATCAGGCAGTATTGGGCAACACTTTGAGTTCTCTGGAAAGTGGAAAAAGTGCACGCACAAGATCTATGAATTTCAATTGCTAATATATTATTTCTCAGTCCAACAGCCAGTGGTGGATATTGATTTCAAGATGGAGTCTCGGCAGATCAGTGCATATGAATGTGGTGTGACTAGGCTGGATTGATATTCTTCTTTACAGTGTTACATTCTTGATGCCCTGGATGAATTGTCAAACAACTGCCCTTGTGATACATTTAGAAAATGTGGCAGTACTTTAATACTGTGCCCTCAAAAAGTATTGGGACACTTAAAAATGTATGAATGCCATTGATTTGAATCAGGAGTGCGACTAGACCTGCCAACATTTTCTACAGAGATATACTGTGACCCAGCTAAATTATTCCATGTAAATTAAGCTCTGAACCTTTTAAAAATCTGTTATATTTGCTCAAAATAGGCTGGTACATTTGACATGTGTATTTATTTTAATCATTATTCTCTAATTATTCACTATTGAGCATAACATATGTTCTTCTGGAGTTAATAAAGCATAAATTAAAAGTATTTTGCTTTAATAACTAATTTTGGTGTTAAAAAAAGAACATCAGAGGCCTTAACAGGAAAGTTCTGAACACAAATAATTAACATTAAAATAAAGTTAAAACAATACAATTATACAACTCATTTTAATTATAGAACTGCTTTTCAGTTACACTCATTAAGTGTCTTTTTACATTTTTATCATCTCTTTTCACATAAATTGGAAGCGGTTAATGTGGTCACTGTCTTGTTTCATATATTTAATGAATTTACCTAATTAAAACAGTTCTTCTGTGTGATTTCTAAAACACTGCTACACATATTTAAGAAGAACTGAATGCATTAAAGGATCTCACATCATCATTTACTCACTCATATCGTTCCAAAACTGTATGACTTTCTTTCATCTGCTGAATACAAACTAAATATTTGAAGAATGTTGGTAACTAAACAGTTTTGGTTACCATTGACTTCCATTATAGACAAAAAGTACTGAAAAACTTCTTTACTCCATTTGTGCTCTACAGAATAAATCATATAAAACTGGTTTGGAACAACATGAGGGTGTGTAAATCATTCATTTCATTTAATTTAATTTCATTTCATTTCATTTAATTTCAGTTCATTTCATTTTGTTTGACTGATTGATTGATTGATTGATTGATTGATTGATTGATTGGTTGGTTGGTTGGTTGACTATCCCTTTAAGACTGAATCTGAATGCACTATGTTTTGAACGAAATATTTAGGCTATACAGAGCGGTTCAGTTTATAGTCCTAAAACCTGGAAGATAATTAGCATTTTCAAGCCATGTGTTCCCTCAGGAATTCCCTTTGGGATTTTAGCATAGTGGTTCTTGATTTATAACTAAAATAAGGTATGTGGTTACCATGACTTTGAGACTATCATGTTTTGTTCTACAACAGGAAGTTACACACAGAAGTTAAACACATATTTTGAAGCAACCACATGCTTTACAAAACAAAAGTTGTCATAAAGTTGCTTAAAAAAAGTACTGTGAATACAATAGGCATTCACTAATGTTGTTCAGCACATTCAGTAGTATATGGTAACAGCCCACTTTTAGGGGAAAAAGTACTTCATGTGTAACATTCAACAAAAAAAGCAATTTATCTGTCCCAATGCATCAAAAAATAGAATAATGCCATGTTAATGCAATTGCGTGGCACATTGTGACATTGTGCTGCAGTGCACACATAAAAAAGAAGGAACAGAAAGATCCAATAAGAATAGCTGCAAAATAAGATTGCTATGGGGAAAAACATTCAGGTAGGGCCTAGTGACACTCCTACATTATACAACTAAACATCAAACCAACTAGCAATTATTTTAAAGACAGACCTTTATCAAGCACCTTTTTTCCAAGCAAAATGTTTTTGAAAAAAATAAATGTTTTTGAATTATAAAACAGTAGATATGTTGTTGAAAATGTATATTGTTGCCCATTGGCCACTTACTGTACACACTGCAGCTAAATGCAATTGTCAATATTAGAGCTTAAACCTGTTCTGTACACATACAGTTCAGTAATTTACAGAAAGCGCATTCTAATTAACTCCCGAAAAATTTAAGTAGTGACAACCGCATTTACAATAACTGATTTACAATTTACAATTGCAATACTGTTCTAATGAACAACTAGTTACTTACACATCTTAATAACTCATTATTGCCTCTGTCTCAAGTATTATGTAAAGACATATGTATATTTTTATTTATACAGTAAATAATGCAGAAATCTGTACATAAATCTTCTGTTCCAGATGCATACCCCATTATTATTATTATTTATTTGGTTATTATTATTTCTTTTATTTTTTCCCTTAGTTTTTAAATGTTCTTTTGTTCTCAATGCCATATATGTATGTATGCATGTTTGTACCAAGAGCTCCTAAAAAAACACAACAAATTCCTTGTATGTTTGCACACACTTGGAAAATAAAGCTCATTCTGATTCTAATTCTGATTCTGATGTAAACACGTAACAGAGATGTGGCTCTCTTCTGTAAGTGCAGTGCAAGATATCACAGGGAACAAGGTACATGGCTTGAGTCAATAATTGTGGTTCCATAATTGCTAGAGAAAAAAAACCTGAACAAGACAACAATAATCCTGAATAAATCCAAATGCTTTATATTGGAAACAAGACCGAAATATTGCGACTCTCCTCCAAAATTAACTGTCTTTTTTAATTCCTGTCCCTATTAATTCTATACACTGGATCGCTTTATGAGAAAAGCCCAAACAACAAGCCCAAAGATGCTTATAATGAGTAGACATGGCAACAAATCAAACAGTGTTCTGCTGCAGCATGCCATCCAAGCATATAAACAAAACAAGACGCCTCTGTCGACGGTGGCTTGGTTAAAATCTAAAAATCACCAACTCAACAGTTGCTTTAAATGTCATTGCAAAACATGGGTAAGAAAATGTAACTTATTCCTGAGAAAATCTCAGAAGTCATTTGTTTGCCACTTGGTTTAAAATTTTGCTATCTAATTAAATGATATTCATACATTTTAAGTGTGGCTCAAGTACTTTTATTGGGCCACCATCGTACTATCCCAGGTGAAAAAGACGTAGTATTAAATGTATTAAAAATATACTTGAAATTCAAGAAGTATGTTTATCACGCATTTGTATTCCCAACATGCTTATTTGAAGTGCAATAAAAATATATTAAATTGCATTTTAATGTATTTCTAAAAAGTATACTAGAAGTACTTTTGTATTAAATATATGCTTAGTTATACTTCTAAGAAATATGCTAAACAGAAGCATACTTTTAATGTATTTATAAAAAGTATACTAGAAATACTATGTTAATAAATATATGC